GGGGGGTAAAAACGAAGGTAGGACGGACGAGGCGATGCTGCAAGGGCTGGCGGCGGCGGAGCGTACGGGTCTGCGCGGAGCTCCCGCCCCTGGCGTTAGGCGCGTTGCCCCGTAACAACTCTTCTTCCCCAAAACGCTCAGCCCGTTCACCACCAGGAAATTGCAGTGCCTCACGACAGCCCTGCGCGCAACGCGGAATCACCGCTTTTCCGGCAGAGAAACCGAGGCACGCCAGCGTCCAATGATAACGGCCACGTTCACAGCAAGTAATTGCCAGGGACAAGGATCAAACTGCCGCCTCCCTGGTCTCAGCCCCCCATGCTGTCTAGCCCTGTCGCTCCCCTAGCTTTGCTACTTTTAAAGAACACAAAGAGCTATTGCAGTCCAGTTCACATCCTTCTATCAGGAAACGAGATTATCTTAAATTGCCAGCAAATCACGTTGAATGCAGTTTTTTTGTTTTTCAGATAAATGCCTCAGACCATAACTTATGCTCCCTGGGTGAAGGAGAACTCCCTTTTGAACACAATTCCTAGGCAAATGCAGTACGAGGTAATAAACGCTACAGAGAAGAGCTGACATAAGCTCAGACACAAAATTAAGGCTATCTGTGGAAACTAATCTCCACAGTACACAAATACAAATTAATGCAGCCCCAACAGCAATATTTCCCTGCCAAAGAATCGCACCTTAGTTCAACAGGGGACTTTAGTTGTTACTCATCCACGCAAACCAAGTCATTCATCCTGCCACCTTGCCCACCTACTCACCCCCCAATAATGAAACAGTACTTACATTGATACACAGTCCCCAAGTTTGCAGTTTACTACAAAAATACTTTCCCCCCCCAAAATATTTTTATTGTGAAAATAGGACAATCCTGTTTTTAACTTCACAGAACAGCCTAAAGCACCTTCAGATTTTAGAGCTTAAACTAGTCTTGTTTTCATCTACATGAAAATAAATGGAAAAAAAAACCCCACACATTCTCTACTTTCTCCCACACTTAACTTGGGGTCCAGACCTGTAAAGATACCTAAGAGAGTAGCTTCACGCACCTCAGCAGTTTAATTGGAAGGAGCTCTACTGATGTCATTCACGTTTGCTGGCTCAGGGCCTCGACTTTTTCCATTCATGGCACACCCTCCAGGCAAGAGCTATCATCTCTGGGAAATGTCAGATCTCCTTATTTGATAAACAGTCCACTTACTGCCAGAAGGACATTCACATCGCCTATTGTCTTTCCCCTGAAATTCCAGAAACCTACCCAAAGCATTAATTTTCAATATTTGCAGAAGAAAGAGTCACAGACTGGAGAATCTCTTGATCTCTATTATCTAAACAGTGTATGCCCACTGCTGTGCTATAGTATAAAAAACCACTAATCTATACTTTTTTACCCAGTGGTCTGCAGGCCCCTTGGGAGCTCATGGGCTACTTCTGAGGAGTCCATAAAAAGTAACCAAGAATAGAAAAGCTATTCTCAGTAGGCTATTTGATATACAGAGGTATGCACCTCTGTGATTCTAATACATAATGTATGGGTTTTTTTCTTGTTAAGAGGTTCAGTAATTGTAAAAGACTGAACAATCACTCAAAGTGCCATTTGTCCCATCTTCCCGAATACTTTCAAAGGTCAGAACTGGCTTCTAGGAAAACCTTAAACATGAAGGTGCTCTAATCTCTTTGGAGAAAGGCTAAAAACTTTCCTGTCTCAAACTCCTTGGATCTGAGACTATGTTTTTGTTTTTCTTTAATTGGTTTTCCTTTGCATACACTGCCAAGTTTAACTTAT